CTTTTTCTTATAAGCATAATTTTTACATCAAAATTTTGGCTTTGGATTTCTATTTCTGTTTTCCTATTTTGCAGAAAAATTCTACCTATACCAAACTAAATAATTCATGGTCATCACATCCCAGCTGTATGTTGAAACGGGTATGGAAAGCAGTTTGCAACACAGCCAAACAGTATGTTCCTGTGCAGAAATCATTTTGCAGCTCCATTATTTGCAATCAACTCGCAACGCTATGCTTCAAGGGTTGATTTTGATACCCTGAATAGAAATGCTGTTTCCACTTCTCTGCCTTGTTACAAGAGACTTGGCAGCTCAGCATGTGCCTTGTTACTAATCCTGTGGTTTCATTCATAGCACCTGGAGGTCACATCAGAGGTGAAGCTGCCAACCTCAGTGAAGTGTGTGTATCTATGTCCTGATCAACCCTTCCTTGGCTTAACCTTCATCTTGTCTGCACGCTCCAATCGGATTTAAAAAACAACCTGGAATTTTGTTCCAAACAACTGGAAGCATACAAAAAAAGCACATGCATCTTAAAGGTACCACTGCATACACGCAACAGGTCCGTCGGGAATCCGACTCACTTTTTGTGCCAGTCTCTGAAGTTAGACCCAATAAATCAAGATTGGGCAATAAGCCAAGCAATGTATCTTTTTCAGTGGATGGCAGGATACAAATGCAATAATCTGTTCCGATTATGGTGTTTGATTACTGAGTGTTAGAAAAGGCTCAAACAGAATGTAACTTTTAATTATGCCATTTTATGGCAGTTCATTGCAAAGCCAGAAGCTCTTTCAGGGCCATGCAAATGTTTTCCTCATTCCTGATAAAGCCTGAAATATGTCTTGGTGCCTTCCATAGCCTCTGGGCATGGTCTGTATTCATTCTTGCAGATCTCACTGTTGATTTGCTATATTTTGCTACTGCTACCCTGGCAACCCTATGAAACAGAAAGAGCTTATTTCTGTGCCTCTCTTTTATATGAAAAAAAATGTATTTAGATACTTCTAGATAAACAACACCTGCTATCTAATGAAAGCCCATGCAAAGGTGTAATATGGTTGTCATTATGCAAATTATGGTTGACCAAGAGCTGCAAATAAACGCACCCCAGAAGCTCTGCATTTCCTCTGCATACACTACACTGAGCACAACTGCACATTTCTCTCCGAGAAATCCTTGACATAAATACGGTGGCCTAGGGCTGAAGGAATAAGGTGGGATTTGAATATGCCTTATGTGTGTAACTGAGGACAGAAATACTCACAGTTTATTTTGTTGGTTTGTTTTTTTTTTTAACTTAAATATCTCAAAGATTGATTAATTTACACAAACCTTTCAAGCCAACCCCCAGCAGGCATGTCCATTTGTGAAGTTCAGACAAACTAAGAGCAACTCACATTTCACTATCTACTATATTCTGCTAAAAAAAAAAAAAAAAAAAAAACAACTTAGCAGCACCTATGACTGAAGTGAAGCAAAAGATGAAAAACCCAAGAAATCTCATGTTTGGATTAATATGAAAGCCTATGTTCCTCTGGGCATAACAAGACCATTGTGGTTCTCTGAAATTAAAATCAGTTCCCTATTTCCTTACTGGTTGTTTCTCTTCCCACCCAGCACCAGTCCATGGTGAATGCTGGTGTGGGCAAGAGTGTGGAAAGGGGAGGGAAATGCAGGTTGTAGTAGATCCTCCGGAGTTTACATATGGAGAGACAATGCAAAAAGCCAGAAAAGCCCCAGAGATGGGTGCTATAGTTAGCATCAGTGGCAGAAACGAAGGAGAGAAGATACATTCAAGAGATGCTGCACAGAAAAGCAGAAGCATTTCACAAAACCTTGGAGATGGGGGAGGAGTGAGAAGTGACACTGCTGTTGTGAGTCTGTGGGACACGGGACGGTGGTGGAGCTGTCAGCATCAATGGGAAGAGGAGGAGGCTGGGAGGATTTTGAAGGATAGATAAAAAGAGTTCGGGGTTTGAGCTGTTGGGCTTCAGTTGTCAACAGGACATCCAGGATCTGCCGAGGAGAAGGGAATGGAAAGAGAGAAATTATGAATCACCAGCTCTGGATGGCAATTAAAACCTCCACGCCATGAGCTGCTCTGTCAGCCAGCCCCTCTCCTGCAGCATGGGTGGAAGCTGCTCAAGACTTGGCATTTTCTCTACAATTTCCTAGAGGAATTCATGCAATCCACTGCTGGCATCCACCTTCTAATTATGCTCGTGTGGGAATTAAGCATAGATAGGTCACAGGTTTGCCTGGGCTGTCCCAATGAGCCAACCTTGCCTCCAGGTTTTAATCCACCAGGCCCCAGACACCAGTTGCCAAAAGAGATACATACATACTTAAGAAGCAGTTTCTAGACAGTCACTCCTTGCATGGTAATTAGAAAGAGCCAGTTGATTAGGGTCATGGTTAAATTAGCCAGCCTGCCTTTGAGGCTTGCTGGGGCAGCTCTCTTCCCAGAGCAGTCTGAAGCTTATCACTTTATTTAGCATTGATTTGTCAGGACCATACTATGTTATTATCATTTCCAACATCTGCTTTGATCATTTTCCTGCTTTCTTGTCTCAGAATGGCCATGGACTTACAACACTTCAACACCCACGCCAAAGAAGAAAAAAGCAAGATTTTTTTTTTACATATACACACACACACACATATGTACATGTAACTTCCCACCCGACACCGAGATGCTTCACGTGATCACTCCCAGGCAGCTTTCTAGATACAAACCACATCTGTTCAGACTGAACCCCCTCATCAGGTTCAGTCTGCCCACACAGCTTCATCCAAAGTAGACATATTTATTACAAGGTTTTGAAGCAGATGTTGTCCCCACCTCTCTACCTTTCTGACTGCCAGAAGCCCCGAGGCAACCACCATCCACTGCCCATACCAAGTTCTGAATCTGTTTGTGCCTCATGTTTTCCTGGGGTCACTGCAATACAGGAGGACCATGCATAGTTTTTATCAGAGCTGCCAGTGAATATATTGCTTTGGGCTGGTTTTGCATTGCACAGCAGCATCAGGAGAAGAAAGCCACAGTGCCTTGAACTGAACATCTAGTCACCATTTCAGCAATTGCAGGACCTTTATTTTAATGTATGATCTGCCCTTACATCCTAAGGGATTCTTATGCAATTTCAAATACCTCTAATTCCAATTTTTTTAAAAAAACTTAAATGCAAACATTTTCTCCTCAGAGCCTGTGAATGGAAATGTGAACAAAGCACCATGAAGGCAGTCATAAAATAGGCATTTATGTCCCCTCCCACTAGGCAAATGGCACTACCTTAAGGTATAATGGAATGTGCAGTCCAAATCCCTACACCTGGCATCCGTGATGCCCTCGTCTCCGGGGAAGTCTCCCTGCCCCACTCTCCAGCACCCAGGCGAGAAGGCTACAGCCAGTTCCCACCATAATTGCCCTGCGTAGGCTCAGATGAGCAGCCTGACCTGGATGGGGAAGAGCATACTGTATCTCTGAAATACCTTTATACCTGCGAAGGTCATACAGACTCTGAGAAAGACCTCCAGAAGGAAACCAGCAGGAGGAACTGTACACAGGGCTTCCAAAATGCTTGAGTAAAGCCCCACTGCTAAGCTTTCCTCCAGAAATCCTCACTGTAATCACTTCACAACCACACTTGCCCTATGTAAGCTGGGCTTGAGAAGAAGCTCAGGCTGCTTCAAGCTTTCCTGCTTGTGAAAATGTCACTCTCCTGTTGGCAGTCATACAAAATGGGTCATCTTCCCTCCCTGGTCCTTGCTTTTCTCCCAGGGAGAGGAATGCTCCTGGGACAGAGCTGGCCATGTTTTTCACGTTATTTCTCTTTGGGTTCTCAGAAACATCTTCCTACAGCCTGGCCAAGGAATTCCTCCAGGGAGAACTGTATCTGGACCAGTACATAAAGTTAAGTCGGTTTCTCTGAAGTACCAAACAAGCAAACAGCCCCCGGACACATAACCGTGGGCAGTGGGTACAGATCTCAGATGGATGTCAGAATTCAAAGCAAAGCTTAATAGCATTTACTGTTCAGAAACAAGCCTGTCTTATTATTATTTTTAGTACGTTTCTCAGACTTGTCATTATGTACTCCTGATTTACAGTATTTATGCCAGGCAACTGTGTTACCTTTATTCTTCCCTGCAGGATTATGTGAGAATATTCTTTAGAGAGAATATCACACTGGGCTAAGGTTAAAAAACAATCAAGACATGTAGCAAGCTCCAAGGTGTCTTCCCATGTCTCTGAAATATAAATGATTCCCTGGCATAAAAGATTCTGAAATACATAGCCGTAAAGTCAAAGCTTTGCTAAGCAAATAACAAATACAAGAAGAAGCTCTCCTTCCAAAGGCTCTGAATCACGTCGACAGCTACGGTATGCGTGAAGCTAAAATATTTCTGAAAAAGCCAAAAGCTGTCAAGAGAAGATAGCAAAGCACCGGCCAGTTCCTAGACTTTGATTATAATTCACACAGAAATGCACACTGGGGGGATGGACCTACAGCTTAGAAAAAGTGCAATATGTGTTTCTTCGAGACTTTTATATCCAGGTGTTAAAGACTGAGAGTCTTGCACTCTTTTGCCAATGACACTCAATAAGTAACGGATAACAGCTAAATACTAACCAGTACCAGAATATCAAATGGTTTGGGAATTTCTTCCTGCCTCCTGAGAGCAAATACCACTACTGGATATAATCAGTCAAAACACACAATCTCACTTTGCTTTAAAAAATTCTGTCCATTAACAACCAACGAATAAAGTCAACATACATTGAAGAAATTACTTAAGTTGGACACTGTCTATATTTATGAAATCAATACTTGTGTTTCAGGACTCAAAATGAGACCATGAGACTCATTTTTCCTTGACAAAAACATTTTTTCTTTTGCCAAAAATACAAGAAAACAATTTTTAAAAGCCCAGCTGGGCAAACCATCTCCTAAAGATTCAACAAAGCTTCTCCCACTGTCACGTCAGCATACCTAAACGTAACAGGTTCTGGTGTTCAGGATTAGTCTTCCAAATACATCTCCAGCCATGGCTCAAACACATTAATTCCTATGTCTCTGTGCAGATGGGAATTCCTCCGCCCACAAACAAGACCCACAGTGAGCAGTTACTAGATCAAGGAGAGTGGGTAACTTCAGTGCCTGTGCTCCGAGGAAGCACGTTTCCCTGTCTGCTGTAAAGGTAAAATAGGGAGCACAGAAAATTACTCCAGTGGATTAGAAGTATAAAAACCTCAAGTGTTTAAAAAGGAACCTGCAAGACCAGAGGGGCAAGGCTCAAGTTCTTTGCAGGAAAGCACAGGCTTGTTTTTGCCCATCATTTTGCAGAAGCAGGCACACTTGGTTTACTATTGCCATCCAGAAGTATAAAGTTCTTGAGCTGTCCCAGTGATAACAAGTGATGTGCACAGGAATCCAGCGCTTGGGTGTGCACACAGCAGGCACGCATCCAGGGGTGGCACCCAGGAAACCCGCTGAAAAACAGCAATATTGATCCAACTGGCCATTGTCCAGGCAGCAATCACTAGCACATGGGAAGTGTAAATACACTTCCACACCTTCTCTAAACCATAGCCTCTATTAGTTTAACCTGTGTCACTGCAATTGTCTTTTTTTTCTTGTTCTTTCTTTTTTTCCCTAGGCATATAAGCCTTCTTGAATGTGAAATACTTGCCAGGAGACATAAAGGAATAATGTCAGAGGCCTGAGCATGAAAGACAATGAGCCAGACTTTTCCTAAATTCTGAAACACAGCCTACAAGTTATGTCCAACAATATTTCTTATTCCAGATTCCAGAAGAAGTTATTGAATTTTTTATCACAGTGAATTTAACTTTTTTTTTTAAAAGAGACTGAGAATACAGAGTTATATATTGAGTAATTCAAGCTAAAGGTGTAGAGCTGTATCTCTGCCAAAGGCGTATATATAAGATTATGCACATCATTAGTCAGCTAACTTCAAGCACTGCAACATGCTATATGCTGAAATACCCAGTAATCTGTTCTACAAAAGAAGTCATAGTCAGTAGTGATCAGTCTGATTTGCCTGACAGAACCCTACAAAATTTCCAAAGACAGTGCAGACCACAGGATTGTATTTAAAAATCCTGACAGAAGCCTTGTTTTTACTACTTACTTTCTGTCATCCCCTTTAAGCGATCATAAGCTGCTGGCAGTCCAGGTGCAAGAGGCTGAAAGGCACTTTCAACACCAAACACAGAAACGTGGCACACTGTCTGTTCACATCCCATATGTAACTATTTATCAAGCCCAGGATAAAAATCTGGCAAGTTTCATATTAAAAATGCCAGAATGAAGTAAGTAATATCCTGAATGCACATGCAAGTGTTTCAGTGCAAAGCAAGGAAAAAAAAAAGAAAAAGAAAAAAGCCGGGCTGCAGGACTAGCCCTTATAATCATGTGCAGCCTGAAAAGAATGAGTAAGAACAAGTAGGCACCAGCATCATTTGTCACCAGCAGGTCTAGCAGCTCTTGGTTATGTTGCACAGAAAATTAATGTTTTATATATAAATCTAAATTCAAGTTTGCTTTCCTATCTCCTATTTATGACAAAGACAGAGCATTGGGAAGCAAAGATGAAAATATCCTTCAAAATTAAGATCCCAGTTCAACAGAGGACTGGAGCACCGAGACACTTCAAGTTTGCCTGGTATCGTTCAGGCACCCAAACTCCGAGTGAAAACCACCAAATCTTCAGAATGCAAGAGCTGCTTTCTCTAAACAAGTAATCTTACTGTAGATGGATCTTTTCGATTCAATTTCCAAGCAAAGCAATGTTTTCTGTTTTAGTCCCACTAAACCTTAACAAAGCAGCATGAGGAACGCATCTTTATCTCAACTGCTGATACAGTCTATCAATATTAAAATAATCTGGTGTGGACTGGCTTGCTAATAAGCCAGCATTTCAGAGATGTTTCAAAACAAAACTGTCTTAAATGTGTGATTTGTGGAGGATATAAAACATAAAACCTATGAAGAAAAAAATGCTGTCATTGGCACAGCAAGATTAAAAAAAAAACAATTACAAGGCTGACTACATTAAATTAAACTTGGTGCAGTCATTCCTGACAAAAATCCTACTGTCAGTAATTGCACATATTTGGACTTGTAATTGTTAAAAATATCACACTGCAAGTGTTTGATCCATCTGAGATTCTGCTTCTGAAAAGCCATACAAAATTCCCAATAGAAATCTCAGGTTTTGTTTTAACATGAGCTCTTGTAATATTTGATTTTTTGCTGCTTGCTCTTTTACTGTTTATTGCCTTGGGATCAAAGATCCATTTTGTAGTGAAAAGAAACTCCAAATCATTGTTTGCATGCTCCTTTTCCATGAGAGACACAGGAGCCAGAGCGACTGAATCCCACTCATCTCCCCAGATTCCTGGTCCTCTAGGGATTCCAGAGCAGCAACATCAGATTGCAATGGTTTAATAGGGCTGCTGTTGTCTAACTACCATGGCTGTCATCTCCAGTCATCAAAACCCAAACTCAACAAATTTGCCCAGCAAAGACCAGCAGACAAGATTCCAGGTGACACCTGAATTCTCTCTCAGCCGATACTACATTAAATGACACCTAAAATGGATGTTGTGTTAAAGTGCTCCAAATCAGCGGTCATGAAATGATGACCTCGACAAAACCATGCAACACCGTTTAATTAATCAACCAGCCAGAAACTCAATTCTACAAAATAAAACAGAATCCAGGGAATCCTTCTTATGTATTTCAGATCAAGCTAACTTTCCTGAAGTAAGAGAGTACAGATCAAGCAGACCAGGGCAAAGTGAGGGGGAATGCCTGATTATTTATTTATTAAAAATATTCTTGCTGTTTTATATGCAGTTCACTGGTATTTACACATGCTTGTCTTCAGTGTGATCTGCAAACACTTTAATGGATCTACCAACAAGTTACATGGCCACTGTCATATTCACAAGCTCACGCTTGTGAGACACAAAACCATTTGTGTTGCCGTTTCCTAGAGCAAACCTCCTGTCTAAAACACACCTACACCTTGCACAGCAAGCACTTTGGAAAGTCCTGATTTCTCTCAGGGAAAATACAGTTTAGTAACAGAGTTTTCTACTATACCATCAGTACAGTTTCTGTTTGACACTTGCCATTTCCAAAAACCCTGAGGAACTTGAGCACCTGATTTCTAGGCAGGAAAAAGTGGCATTCTGGGTGCATTAGAAAAATCATATCCTAATCTGTACAGCTGAATTGCTTTATTGTAGGTTCCTTTATTCTCCCTTCAAGCACAGGCTTTTTCTTCTGAGCTTCTCAAGATTAGAAGAGACAGATGTTGGCAGAGGAACGCAACACAGCAGTTTGGGTAGCACCCTGTCTGCACGACAATGGTGTCATCATTGATCACAACTCAGTCCAAAACCTTTTAAGCAGATAAATTAAAGCACATGTGAAGTTTTCTTGAACTCAGGGAAATTATTTGTCTGCCAAGTTAAGACTTGGGCTTCTGTATACTGCTGAACAAGGACAGTGCTTGTCACTTTCAAAGTTGTAGGTTGGAAGAAGAAACGAGTAATCAATATATGTCTATGGTATACCAGGAAAAAGTTACTATCCTTGCTCAATACCTTCAACCAAATAGTTTCGCCAGACTCCAGTACAAATCAGTTATTCAGGTATGTGAATGGTAGCTGGTGGGATCTCCTGTAACAACTCTCCTGTTCCTCTTAGACTGTGGAAATTTTTAATCACTGTTCTTAAAAAAGCACACTCCTTAATGAGCACTTAAAAAGTTACGTTTATGAAACTTCAAAAAAGTTGTCCAGAAAAACTTACCGCATCTCATCTAACTTTAGACAACTCGACCTTTTTGGTGTCTGCTGATGCGAGATGTTCCCCATGTAACATTGCTTACTTGGCTTATCTTGGATTAAAAACCTTCACAAAGCTAGCAAACCTTTTGCCACAGCTTCAGTCCCCACGTGGCCCTTCCAGATGCCTTGCTCTGATTATCTTGCCCTGCTTTGATGAAGTTTGGATGCAGCAGATAGGTCATACCACCAACACATGAGCCTTATTCCAACAAGCCCTCAACACATCTGCCTCACGTCCTAAGAATCAGGACAGAAAGGGGTAACCACAACTCCGCTACACACCACAAAAACCTCCACCTGCGTAAACATTCCCAAGTATGACAGGAATGCAAAAAAGTTATTATTAAAGTTGGCAATTTGTTTGCCTTTACACATTAGGCACCTCCTCCCTTTCTGGAAGGCGTGCTGAAGCGCAGGGCTCGCCGAGGAAGGGCCACCGTGCCGGGTGGCTCGGCAGCCTGCTCTCTTGTGGCCTCATTAGCTGAGCTCTCGCAAGCAAAGCAGCTGAGCAGCGTCCCAGATTTTCACGCACCAACTCTGACGTTTATAAAGTACTTTCAGTCGTGACAAGATCAAAAACTCAGCATTCTTTCAAATCTCATAATAACTCTCAAACACCCCCAGCACAAGGCTGGGCGGGGAACCCTACAACTGATAATGATAAAAGCTCTTATTAGATAAAACTGGAGGAATTATGGGATTCACCCCTCACCTCCACCTCATTCCAGGGTTCATTTGATTTCTGCAACATACTTTGCTCTTAGAAAACACTAATCACATTACCTCCTGGACAGGCCTCATTTGCAATCACTGCAGTCCTTCCCATCGGCTCTTCTGCCAGCAGCTTACTCAGTTGCTTGTGGCTCTCATCTCATTTTGGGCTCTCAACCATCTACTCCTATGATTATATTTAAATGTCAATGCGAGACAACTCCACTTTGCATGTTAGATCATCATCCTCCAGCCAAGCTTAAACAGTAGTTGTGTCAGAGCTTGTAGTCTAAATTATTTGTTCTCAGTTGTATAAAGGGACTGTTTTGTTTTATGGATTTTGCCATAAAAACTATTGATCAAACCAATGTTTTTCATGTGCTTGCACTTAAGAATTGCTAAAAGTGACTGGGATGGAGGAGAGAATAAAAAGACACGTCAGCTGTCAGGTAT